AAAACATCGTAAAATGACTTAAAGGAGGTTTCACTTCTTAGAGTCCACACTGTGAAATTGTTTACCTCCCTGCAAATGGACCCATCAGCCCTGCCAAAGGCCATCCTGAGTCTCCTGAAAGTGAGCAGGGCTGTGTGGAGAGCTGCTCACCAACAATACAGATGTTAAATGTCTAGCACAAGATAAATACCCAGAGGTGGAATTGCTGGATGATTCAGTAGTTTTATATATTTGTTTATTATCTTTGAGGGACCGCCATACTATATTCCACGAGGACTCCAAAGCAATCAAACTCATAAAAGCAGACAGTAGATGGTGGTTGCCTGGACTGGCAGGACAAAGAGGGAGGTGCTGTTTAATAAGTCCTGCTTTCAGTCAAAACAAGACAAAAAAAAAAAATTAGAGAGATCAACTTGCCACACCGTGCCTGTAGTAAACAGTACTGGTACGTACACTTAAACATTTATTAGTGGGCAGATCTCATGTTATGTGGGGGTTTCCCCATAATTCTTTTAAAAAACTAAATTACTTGTACTGGTGATTAAGTTTAGCAAAGGAAACAATGGCATCCGTTTGAAGGTACCGGGGGGAACATTTGTGCTTTGAGAACTGGGCTCAGGTCAGTTTGAAGGGTCTGGAAAACAATCTTAAGTTCCTATTGCCTAAAGAAAGGTTTGCTTAGTACTGTTGACTTAATGTCAAAGGCCATAGTCTTACTGTCCTGAAGTGTTCTAGATGGTTCTCAAAGAGGTATGCTTTTCTGCTGCCAGGTCACAGGTGGAACTATTTCTACACACAAACTATAACTGAAAGTCAACACTGGCAAACAAGCTACAGAATAAAAGACTGTGGACCAAGGGATCCCTTGGCAAAGGCTAGTGTCTGCCCTGAGTTCCCCCTTTTCCATTGCTGGAGTGAGGTCATGTGGAAGGTACCAGTTCCCAAAACAGCCTATGCTCTATTTTAGGATGATAAGTCTGTAGCTCCATGTTGTTATTTCCCATGATGCCTAGAAACAAAAAGCTGGGCTGGGGTTGTGGCTCAGTAGGAGAGCGCTCACCCCGCATATGTGAAGCCCTAGGTTCGATCCCCAGCACCACATACAAATAAATAAATAAAGGTATCCTGTCTAAATACAAAAAGCTGTCCAAATTGCTCCCTGGTGTCATCCTCACCAAGAAGATAGCTACAAGAATATGTATTACATATAAAAAAATTTTATAAGACAATAGAAATGCATGTCCCTGAGACTTAATAAATCTATTCTTATTTTAAATGGGTTTTTAAAAAAAGGAAACAACATCAAACATTGTTTTTCTCTGAAATGGCCCTTGTAGGGAAAATAATTGGAAGGAAAAAGAGAAAGGCAGGAGGAGAAGGAAGAGGTCATGACAGGTCTGCACAGAAGCTAGTAAATGTGTTTCCAGAAAGTCAATGACTGCCTGTACCTCAGCAGGAGCATATTTCAACATGGCTCTAATCCCATCACTTTCTACACATTTTTTCTATAAATTTGTTAATGCAGGTATGCACATTCAGAGGCATGCTCCATCTATTCCCTAAAACTCTGACTTCTGTAGAAATGAAGGAAAAAGCAGGCTCAGACACTCGCTGAGAAGGTAGCTTCAATCCCAGTAATGAGAATCAGAAAAAGCTCTGGGAATCACACTCTTAAGTGGCATAAGGGATAGCAAACCCATTGTCCTTACCTAGTCAGACATCGGACAGCCTCCAAATGGATCACGCTGCCTTCATCCAGGATGGGCCAATTTATTTCTCTTTGGATTAACTGAGCCTCTGCCACTAGCAAGAGAGAAGCTGCTAGCCTTGGAAGCAGAAGGCCCAGGCATGGGTCCCAGCTTTGCTGAGTAACATTGGGAAAGTCACTACACTTTTCTGGGGCTCTGTGTGTTCATCTGTGAAGTAGAGGCAATGATACTGACTTCAAAGGACCATGACGAGGCTCAAGAAAAGTATACGAAAATATTTGGTAAAACTCCAACCATACAACTGAAAGCTAAACTACACCTGTTTGGTGAGAGCCATCGACTGCAGGAAGTAGATTTGCAATAAGAAGTACCTATCAGAAGATGTCTAGCCTGATCCAAGCTAACTTTTTCAAGAAAAATGAGATGGTACACTGTAATACAAAGAGTTTTGGGATACGGTTTCAGGAGACCTGCATTGGAATATAATTATAAAAATACACACACACACACACACACACCACAAGCAATATATATAAGTTAGAGTATGAGTTCCTGAGTTGGGTTGTTCATTCTGAATTTAAGTTTTGCAATTTCCTTCCTTTGCCTCAACTTCCTATAAAATGTGAAAAATATCATATAACTCTTAGGGTTCTTGAGAGGCAAATTGTACATGGAAGAGAATCAAAACAGGGTCTGACATACAATAAGCTAAATGAGGGCAAAGATCTTTGCCTGTTTTTTCCACTTCTGGGTAAACGAGCATGAAACAATGGCTGGCACATAGTAAGTGCTCAGTAAACATTCACTACCCAAATGAATGAAGACTGTTTTGCAGCTTCTCTGGGCCTCAGCAACCATTTCTCTATAAACTGAAGCAAAGTTTGTACTAGAGGGTCACTGAGCCCTTCCCAAGCTTTGAAAAACCCAGTGATTTTAACTAAATTCATTAATCTCTATGCAAAAATTCAAATTCATACACCTTCAAACTTTGCTATCTTCCTCTCTTTTCAAAAAAGGATTTAAAAAAAAAAAAGTTAGTACTTCAATCTCCCTTCTCGATTCCTCCATTTCCAGTGGTCAGAGCAGTTACTTCTACAGGTGAGTCTTCTGGGCCATGATTAAGGTGAGAACAGGGATTAACAGCAGAGTTTTCCTGAGCCCTGATTCACTTAATACTAGGATCAGGGGTTGGACATCTTCTATTGACTTGCTTTCCCTTGACACAAGAGCAAGACACATCCAGGATGTCAGCTCAACCAATTACTTATGTCTGAAAGGATTCAAGATGTTGACAGAAAGGAGAATCCTGGACTATCCTGTTCACACTGCAAATGAAATGACTTGATTAAGATCCCCATCTTGGGCCAGGCACAGTGGCACATGCCTGTAATCCCAATGATTCCCGAGGATGAGGCAGGAGGATGTGAGTTCAAACCAAACTTTAGCAAAAGGCTCTAAGCAACTCAGTGAGACCCTGTCTCTAAATAAAAAATTTAAAAAGACTGGGGATGTGGCTCGGTAGTTGAGTGCCCCTGAGTTGTATCCCTGGTACAAATTTAAAAAGAGAGAGAGAGAGAGAGATCCTCATCTTGAAACATGTTCTAAATCTTAGGGAGGGGAAAGAGGGTCAGATTGCAGACTGACAAAGGATCCCAATTTTGGTGGGGAGAAGGTGGCAGGTACAGAACCAAGCTAGAAAGAATATACACCAGGATTGAAATAGAGGCATTTTGCCACTGAGTGATATCCCCAACCCTTTTTAAAAATTTTGAGGTAAATTCTTGCTAAATTACTTAGGGTCTCACTAAATTGCTGAGGCTGGCCTCAAATTTAGCAATCCTCCTGCCTCAGCCTCTGGGACTACGGCATGCACCACTTCACTCCGCAGATTATGGGCATTCAAATGAAAATAGAGCTAAACACTTCACGCCCCAGTGCTATTTAAAGAGACCCTGTGAAACAATGCGAATGAACTTAAGACCACTGAACTGTATGCTTAAAAATGGGTTAAGGTGGTAAAATTTATTTCTCCAACAACTAAGAGAAAAAATAATGAGATAAATAATAAGAATAATATCATAAAATAAAAGTTTTATGATATTAAGAAAGGCTTGACCAACCCCAAGGCCACTAGGCTTCTCTCATAGCTGACAGGTACCACTATCCAGTTTTTCTCCTGTGACCTGTCTTTGCTTTTTGCAAGGTCATAGGGAGGGCTCCCAGCCATCAGTGAAGTGCCAAGCAACCCTTTGGGGGTCGGGGGCACAGAGAGCTAACCCTGTCTTTGAGACTTGAGGGGCCACTTGGTCCCACTCTCCAGTGTCATCTCCACGAACATCACCTTTCAATTACTCGGCCAAGTGCTTTCTTGGTGCCCTTTAGTAATTCTAACACTCAGCTAATAAAGAACAGGAGAGAGAAAACAGAAATGCAGAAGGGCGGGAGGATGGCTTGAAATAAACGCTCCTGCCCCCCCCCCCCTGCCTTTTGTAACACTCCAAAAGTTCGAGCCAGAACATCATCAACAGGAAGGGACAATGTCCCCAGTAGACTTTACATTTCAATGCTTCAGAAGCCTAAAGTTACCATCCAACCCATTCACATCAGGGGGAAACAGCATTTCTAATGGAGATGGAAGCGGATGGGCGAGAAGCAAACCTGCCCATCCGCCAGGGGCCAGGGATGAGGGGATTCCGCAACCAGCTTGTGCTTCTGCGCTCAACCGGTGTGTGCAACATTTTGCAGCACCCTTGTCTTGCTGGGCGCACCCTGGGGCCATGTGAGGCTGGATGAAGCTGGATTTGACTGGGGGCGCGGGGACCAGGGCTGCAGCTGCTTCCAGCAAACTCCAAGCGGGCTGCAAAGGGCACCCGCTCAGGAGTGTAGAGCTCAGCATGTTTCTGCAACTGTTTTGACGTTGCATTTGAGTGTTCCCATCACTACCGAGATGCTGCCGCTCTCCTCGCGACCACAATCTATTAGCTCCAGTAACTTTTCAGCGACTCAGCCTGGCCGCAGCTTCCTGCTTACCGCGTACCGCCTGGGGCGCTGCCAACCCTGGCCCTGCAGGGGGCCGAGCGGTGCAGGCGCTGCCCCCGCCCCTCCACCCCCCTTTATCCCCCTCCGCCTCCGCCACCCAGGGTCCTAACTCTTAAGAGATTTTCCCCTTTCACAAAGATCATAAGCTCTTGTCAACAGTTTCTAACAGTAAGAAGCTTTCATTGCAGAGGTCCCTAAGAAAACAAAGCCTTAAAACCTGAGATTGTAATGAGCTCATTCAAGGCCAGTTACCTGGATCCAGGGAGGCTAGGATGCCTGTGAACTTGAGCAAGGTGTGGCTTCATCCTTCCCTAACAATTAGATCTTGTTTACAGGGCACGATTCTGCCCTGGTACTTGTTGTGTTTGTGGTTCTTTGGTGAAGAAAATTCATTTCTTTCTCTCTCTCTCTCTCTCTCACCTTGCACATAAACTGGAGGATGGAAAACAGATCTGAAAGATAAATGCTTTACATAGCACTTTGTTATAAATGGGGATGATTTTGAAAGAGAAAGTTCTTGAAGTAAATCATCAACTCTCCAGGAGAGAGAGAGAGAGAGAGAGAGAGAGAGAGAGAGAGAGAGAGAGAGAAATGAATTTTCTTTAAGAAAAAAAAAAATCCACAGCATTTCACGTGGCCAGGGACTGAACACATACATTTCCGGACGCGGCAGGAGACTGAACGTTGGAGGGTCTGCCTGCCCTTCTCACCTGTTGGAGGGGGTCGGGAAGCGGGGAGCCGCTAAGTCATCACTTTTGTATGTGTGTCAGTTGAAACTACAAAGGCGACCAAAAGGAGGTCTTATCCGTTTTCTGCTAGCTTCAGTTGGGAGCAGCAGGTAGAAGCTGCACTTTGGTTTTACTTTTTCACCACGGGGAGCTATAAATAGATGGGCGCGTGTGGCTTTCTGGCGAGGTTACCTACGCTTGCCTGGCACCGCGCAATCCAGGCGACTCTGACTCCCACATAAGTGTTCGCAAGCCGCTGCCCCCCGCAGACATTTTCCACAACATGTGTGTGTGCGACAAGAAATGCCTTTCTGCGCAGTGCATGTGTGCGTTGTTGTTATTTTTGTGTGAACTTTGTGGTGCTGGATGTGTTCCGCCCACACTGTCGTCTCTGGATAGAGGCCTCCCTCCTAAATGCCTTGAAGAGATGCTGGGTATTTATAGAAGGAAGAAAACATCCTTCTTTGGTGCTTTTACTCCTCTGGGTCATAAATACACTAACTCTTGGTTTTGGTGACTCTGAAGTCTGTAAATTGATTCTATACCTGTGTTTCTGTAGCTCCCCTACCTTTTCTACAAACTGCCTTTCACTTCCCCGAGCCATTTGGTAAAGAAAATTATTTTCACTTTTGGGAGATGGTCCTTTGGGTATCAAGAGTCAGAGAAATGGGTTTCTATTTGTAGATGAGCCATCAGCTCACTCTGTGGGCACAAAGAGCTCTCCAGAAGTCTCCATCTCCCTGGAGGTAGAATGACATGATCCCCCAATCTAGTTCCAGGGTGTTGGCCAGTGCAGCACCTAGGAACACACAAGATCTTTAGTTATTTTGAACATTAGAAAGCAGACAGGTTTCTGGTCCATACTCCCCCCCCCCCCCAATTTGTCCAAATGTGAGCAAAATAAATCAGCAAAGGTGATGTGCCCCCACCAACACCCACCCCTGCATACAACCACTTTTTTTCCTTCTCTATTTTTCCCAGTTCCGTGAATCCTGTCTGTGAATGGAGAAACGGTTGCTCTAGCAGTTTTACAATTCCATGCTTTCATCCCTGCTCCCGACTATGTCTCATATTAAATGAATATTTACATGCCCAAAACTAAATTATACATGCTATCTTCTAATAATGAAATTCTAAAGCCATCAGGTCAGCTGACAGGTGAGTCATTTATATGAACTTAAATCCTTAATTATGTTCCACTATCAGTCGGGGCAGTTGATCAAAGCCTGATACTAATGTGGTCCGAATGGTTCACAGGTTTGCATCCCTATGAGCCAGTTGATGCCTCTCAAGCCCATAGTACACCTGTCACTGGCCATGGCTGTGGAGAGGTACAAGTTGATTGCCATCATTCCCCCTCTTTGGGTTGCTTTTTGGATATATGAGATAATGTAAATGAGATTCCTGGACCATATTAAGTGTTCCAGAAGTGGTAGCTTTTATTGTTCCAGCTACAATTTTCTGTCTACCTTGACCAGTCTGGCTGCAGGCGGAAGACTCACAAAGAAAATAATCGTATCTTTTCCTTTGCATGGACATTGATTGAACATATCCTTACGGATATGATAAAATGCAACTTATATTTATAGGCAAAAGTCCCTCCAAAGCTTGCTTTGTTTGACAGAGACTTAAATAAAAATTTTAAACCAACAGACTCCTACATAAAACCCTGTAGAAGGAAATGAAGCTAAAAATAACCAACCTGACATCTGAACAAATTTGGGAACTTTACCTGACAACTGCCCTAGAAATTGAAAGATTTTGAAAAATTAGCAATTATTTCACAATCACTCCTTTTGGCCTCCCTTGCCTGGTTTGTCCCACTTTCTGACATTTCCTTAGCACACCCGTGTGCAGCAGTCTTGACAATTAATTAACTAACCTTCACAGGACTCCTATGAGGAGATGGATGAAAAGCACTGCAGCTTTATCTCTACTTTTCAGAAAACTAAAAACAGAAAGGTTATGACTTACCCCCAAAGTCACACAGCAAGCTTTCAGAAGAGTTGGGATTGATACCAAGGAACTCTGTCTCAAGCCAGGCCACTGTGACTCTGGTCCTAAGGTAATATTCCTGACTCACCACAAAATTTAGTCTAGTTGCCTAGACCAAGCTCAGTTCTCTGTTACTTCCTAGAGGGAGTAGCCTCAGACAGAGTTGGCCAGAAAAAATAGAACTGTATTCAACTTAATAGGCCGAGAAAAAGAACAAGGAAGAGCGTCAATAAAGAATCTTTCTTTCAGGCAGCCAAGCTGTCAACCAGTCAATGTAACCTAGCATTGCAGGGACAATGAATACAGGACTATACTCAGAGTAGGAAAATGTTAGGTTCCTGGTACTGTCAAAGGAAAACAAAGACTTACATAAACAAAGGCCAGAGTGTCCGGGGCCATTCAAGGCAGGGTCAGTCAGCTTCCAGGTTGAGGCTCTTGCAATATTTTGGGCCCATGGCACTGTAGAAGTTCCTACTAAGACCACTGTCAGAAAGTTACTTTGTGTGATGATGTATGGCTTCCTGTTCTTTTGTATTCTGAATTCCCATTCTCCGTCTTTCCCCATATGATTCCCGAATTGTGCTTACTCTTGCGTTCTTAACAGAAAACTAAAGTGCGGACTTATTCCAAATGCCTCTCAGTACAATGTAGTTGCCATAGGAAGTAATGGCTCTGCGGAAACAATAACGGAACAAATTATTGCTTAATACTATCTAGAAAGATACCTGTCCTGTGAAAGAATGCATTGTTCAATTATGTGTGTTGTGTGAATATGCTTAACCCCAGAAGGCAATGTCGCTAGGAGATGTTCTACGAATCTTCTGCCATATAAATGTCCTCCCAAATGGAGAGGCAAGCAGAAGAGACAATTGACCATCTCCACACAATCAAAATGCACAACTGTCTCACAATGACTGTTATCTTGCCTGCTGTTTGGACCTGTGCTTTAGGCAGCCTTTAAAAATTGGTAGGCTAGTTATTTTTTATCTTTTTAGAAGTCATTTTCTATCTGTACATGCCCGTGAAGTCACAGTGCAATATGTACCTCCTCAGTGCCAGAAGGTAAGGCACGGTTTTCATTTAAAGTAAAGACTACCAGGAGGCCACAGGAAAGAAGCCTGATGTCAAATGGGAAGGAAATGGCTTGGCGTCACCCTACATGCAACATGACAGAATCACTCCAAGTACCGTCTACAGCTGCCAAAAGAGCATTGCTTTTTGCATCTCAGTCAAAGCAGAAAGCATCTTAAAGATGAAAATCTTCAATGCTATGGAACAGATTCACAAATGCTCCAAAACAAAACCAAATTTTTTAAGTGAAGTCTTCGTGCTGTTGTTTCCTAACTTTTCATTTTTGGGTTAAACCTTTAAGTTCCCCAAAAGTTTGAGTTAGGATATTAAAGACCTGGGATTCTTCATGTGAAGCATGGTGAAGAGTGTTTTGGGTTCCATTTTCCTCCATCGATGACCCTCCTAGGGAATACTGCAGATATACCATGGGAAAACTAGCCCAGAGGAGTGATACGCCCCTGCAGTGATGCATGGTTGGGTTTTTGAGGCCATTGCCAGGTTTATGGGGCAGCTGAGGCTGTTTGAATGAAACCAGTGAGAATGAAGTGCGCCTAAGAGCCTGCTTTGGGACAGATGTTGAGTTCGTAAGAATCTTAGCTTGTAAACAGGTATGGAGTGACCAGTCATTAGATGGCATGAGCAGAGCTACATATTGCTTTAAAACAAATTATTATAATTATAAACTTTATAAGTTTTAGAATATGACTTGTGTTTTTTATAAGACACAACATCTGCAGGATGTTCTTTGGTGACACCATTCTTAATCATTTCCTGTTTATTTATTACATCATCTTTTGATGAAGCAAGTGATTGCATTTCTTATTATTTTTTCTGACCTCCAGGGTATTTTTATTTAACCCCATTACAACCTCTAATTGGAGCGCACTGCCACTCACTGCAACCTTCTGGCCAATTTCTATCCTCTGTATCCATCCAGACAACTCAAAAGGTGGAAAAATTCCATGGTAAATTCATTTGTTTGATTGCTTTTTAAATTACACCAAAGAACAAAGCAGCTTTCATAGAGGAGGTATTATCCGTTATTTTTTTCCCCCTAATCACAATATCGTGCTTTTTCAGCCCGGCACACAGACCCCCTCCTGAATATGGAAAAATGGGAGACATCTGAGCAGTATAGGTTTCATCTGGCTTCCCTCCCTGCCCCTCTCCCTCATCTCTCCTCGCTAGAGGTTTGGGTTCTCATCTAGCCGTTTCTGATTCTCGTTTTTCAAGATTGGCACCAATAGAAAAAGAGCTTATGAACACCAGGCTAGATTCTTATCCTCCATGGGTTTCCTCTAAAGAGGAGGTGGGGGAGGGGAAAGTGAAGCAGAGGAGACAAGGGAGAAGGTGACATCAACCATAAGGCAAGGTTGAGACAGGATCCCGATGGCGGTTAAATCAGAATTATAAGAAAGTTGCCTCCACGCTGGTCATGGTGCCTGGTGGTAGGGTGGGGGCAGCCCTTTGCTGGTGAAACCACTAGACTGCCCCTGGCAGTTCTCTGGCTGTCTCCCCTTGGAAATGATGCCACACTCCCCAGGCATCATGCCATT